TTTAATCAATGAAACTTTTTGTGAAATTTTGATGATGCCCTATGATGAAAATGTTAAAATGGTGAAATGCTATGGGAATGTTTTAGAGACTTGTTAGAATTAGGATCTATAGAAACATTTTTACAATATAGGTGTATGCTTTCAATACTTAGAGAAATTATAAATTTTTGAACTTTAAATCTCATATCTTATTAGATGTATAGCAATCATTAAAAAATGTATAAATTGAATAAGTTGGAATCCAACATCAATTTTAGGAAATCGAATAAGTTGGAATCTCCAACATTTAGCTTTAGGATGATTGATATAGAATCGAAAATCATTAACCAAATAAGAATATTTTTTTCTAATTTATCTAAGTATTGATTAGATACACCTAGCTTGCACACTACTATACTCTGTGGATTCTGATTTTCATAAGTTAACATTGCATTCCCTAATTTAAGATCATGTGTATGTTGTATTTATTGCTACACCAATATTATGAGGGCTTTAAAAGGAAGTTAAAAATCTGATTTAGTTTAATGATGTTATTCTATGGCATTATTGTTTAGAAGTTGTTGCATTTCATGCATTTTGCTGCTCGAGGACAAGAAAATATTTAAATTTGGGGGTGTGATAACTCTCCAAAATTGTTATCATTTTGGTTCTTTTAGCCTAAGTTTAGTTTAAACTCCAGCACTATTAAGAACATATTAGGATAATTTCTACATGTTTTTACATCATTTTCATCATGGGAGTTAGTTGATAAACTTAAGGCTAATTTTGATATTTTAACTAAAAATTGGTACACTGATGTTTTGGCATTGCTCTATATTGTAGGTAATGTAGTGAAGCGATGTTGGGACATGTCGCTATGCAGGTCTAGTAGGAACTGCTGAGTCATAGGCGGTTATAGAAAACTTTGGAATGGGACAACTAGTTGGACAATCATCATTTAGCCAAATTATCACCTAAAACATAGAGTGGTTTTATTGGTTGAAGGCTTGAATTTTTAGCCTATAAATGGGAGAGACATTCACACTATTTGCATGACTCTTTTTTTCTCCATGAAAATCTATCTTAAATGAGCCATGGTTTTCTAAGCCCTTTACCAGGAAGTACAACATCAGTTGGGAGAGTTTTACCATGTAGTAGCAATGATCAAAAAGATTCTTTTCTATTTTTTCTTTTCAATTGAGATAGGGAAATGACAATTTACATTTGAATGTTTTTCATAGCCTTGGATGATATTTGGTTTTGAACACTATGTGTTTGATTAAATGATTTTTATTATCCTTATTGCTTAGACTTTATTTTCATGTGATGTCGGACTTATGAGATGATTTTAGAAATAAAATTATCTTTATGTATGTATTCTTTATGATTTTTAGAAATGAAAATTATTGATGTTTCATACAACTTTTGATCAACATTGAATTTGTGAAAGCAAAGTTAGTGTAATGGGATGTATGTTGCCGATTGTCATGCATTGTTAATTGTTTAGTTACTTGAATTAATGAAGATTGATTCTTGTTAATTAAATTTTGTTATTCCTTGCGTGATAAATGAATATAATACGTTTTAAGCATAACCATATTAAAAACTGCTTTATAGCATCCACATCCATTTAATCCTTGATATGATGCTCTCCTGAATGTTGTAGCATTGCCTAACATCCACCATTTCGATTTACCTACTTGCTATTTACCTTTTTATTTCAACATTCAAACCAATACCTTTGACACTTACCACACAACTCTTTTGTAACATGTTTTTCTCTCTATGGGTTCAACATCTGAAGCTTTTATAGCTTCTACTTTATTACTTGAACACGATAGTGTAGGCTTGTACTTTGATGTAGCATTATCTTAACATCAAGTTTTCCATGAATCTCACTTAAAATCGATGAAAATTCATTTAAAGGTTCAATGTGATAATACCTTTATGTCCTCCGATGGTTATCTGATGAGGTTAGTTTTGAGATATATTGTTCATTTTCTATAAATAATGCTTCTATTCATTCATATTTTCAAATAAACACCCAAATCTTTAAAATTATAGATTTTTTTGTATAATATCTTTGATTGTGAGTGAGTTTCATGGAAAACCAATTTTAGAAGAAAAATGAGTGAAACATAAACGTTTTGATATCAATCTTGTCGCAAATGAAAACTGATGACAGACAATGATTCACTGTCAACTCTATCCAAAAAATGCAATACCTAAAAGTGACTCGACTGTAGATTACTTTTAGGAATGAAAATGTATGATTATTTATGTTTAGGGTAAAGTACATAAATTATATCTTTACTATAAATTAATGTTTTGTTGAGTCTCGACTATTAAAAGTTAGAAAATAGTTCTTTAATTATATAATACTATTTTTTTGAGTTCCTCAACTATTAAAAGTTACCAAATGGCCACTCAACTATTCATATGTTCCAAATTCATCATTTTCCGCTAAAAATTTGACAGACGTTTGGATTGAATATTAACCTACTGATTGAGACATGATAAAATCTTATCCATAATAGTTTGTATAATCGAGTGATCATTTTGTAACTTTTAATAGTTAGAGGGCTCAACAAAATAACACCCTATAGTCGATGATCATTTAACTTTTTAAAGTCAGAGACTTAATAAAATAATGTCCTATAATTAGTGGACCATTTATGTATTTTACCCTCACTTTTATTTTGCTTTAAAGCTACTTTCATTGCTGTTGTTGATATGTTGAACAGGGAAGAAAGAAAACATTTCCCCGGTAAAATGTTTTTTAATGATTAAAATATTATTTATTCTTATTTGATTTTCATTTATTTAAATAATAAAAATTAACGATGAAGGGCAGATAGAAAACATTTCCCCGATTAAATCTTTTTTTAATGATTAAATATTATTTATTTAAATAATAAAATTAAACTTAAATGGTGACATGCCATATTTTGATTGTTACCGATTTTAAGTTTAAAATAAATAAAATAAAGATCTAAATTTTCAAAGAATAATTCTATATAAAGTGTAAAATTTAAGAATTAAAATGCATGTAATCTTAATCAGTCATCAAACTATTCCTTGCTCACTTCTACTTTTATCACAAGTGCCATTTTATGGATATGAAATAATCTTTTCCCAAATACTAACTTTATTGTAATTATCACTTTTGGTATTTTCCATTTTCTTTATTGTATTTGTAAAAGGGTCCGGAAGAAAAGTAGTATGTTGATTACATATAGGGATGGCAAACGGACGGGTCAGGTGCGGATATCCCCTCTCCCATCTCCATACCCACTTAATATTTTTTAATCCACCACCCGTCCACCACCCATGATGGGTACAAATTTTCAAATTCACACCCTCCCACGCGGGTACATTTTCAAATCCATCCCCACACCCACTACCCACTAGCGACATACCCATCTAGACCCGCCTGACAGCAAACTAATGGGATGTTGGAGTTGGTTCCCAAACAGTTCGTGATGGGGTAGCAACGCATGCTTCAATTTGTCAGAGGAGTGGCTCTACGAATGTTATGGAGACAAATTGTAGGGAGCATGTAGTCGCAGAGCTGGATTGTTGAGTTGCTTTCGATGTTAATGCTCATAGTGCGCCTAATATGGGTTTTGAGGGGCTAAAGAACATGGAAACTGCTGCTTTTGATGTTAATGCATATAGTACAACTAATTTGTGTTTGGATGGGCAGCATGGGCTAAAGAACATGAAAAGTGACATGGTTAGTGGGATTATGGGTTTAATCAAAGAGTCGAATATTTCTCTAATTAAAGACCAGATTAAAGACTAAATATCCCTAATATTTGGTTAAATTATATGTTATATATTATACAATATTAAAATTTATAAATCAGTCTCTAAAATTACATCTAAATTTATAATGGTCCAAAATTTAATAGATATTTAGCTGGGCGGGCGGATGCAAGGCGGGTAATGTCTCAAACCCATTACCCGCCCACCACCCACGACGGGTACCACTTTATAAATCTACACTCGTCCACTACCCGCTAAAATTATACCCATCCCCGCTCTAATTGAAACGGATGCAGTGCGGAATCCATAAAACGGTACCCGTTTGCCATCCCTAATTACATATTGTGTATGATGGGGTCTTCTTTTCCAAAAGTTAGAATACATCCCTACCCCACTTTGTTACTTGCTTTTTTAAATAATAAATTATACGGTTAGTATATAAATTATTATTATTATTTTATTTAGTTTTAGTATCTAAATTTTATTTTTTAAAATTATATTAAAATTTTAATTTATTTACAATTTGATATTTTATTATTAAAAAATAATAAAATTATTGATGTTATATTTTTTATATTTTTAATAATTTAATATTATCTTATGATAATATATTAGTATTACTATTAATAGTAGGTTATCAAAATAAAATTTAAACTAAATAGTAGGCACGGTTTTAGAGAAAAAAAATACAAAGGCAGTGATGATAACAAGAAATGAGAGCTGCAAACGCACTGTACCTCTCTCCCCTCGCCTTTTTTAATCCCTCATCTCTTCTCTCTCCTTTTCTGTTTTTAACTTCATTTTTGCTTTAAATCATTGGCTAAAAGTTTTTTTTTTAATAAAATAAAACGCATACACCAGAAGGTCAAGGAAAGTACGTAAACGCATGTTATCCAGTCTTCAACTTTTTTTTACTAGTATTTTTCCCCCAATGAGAAAACAACAGTTTCCATGTCCTGTAAATGGGAAGGTCTTAAATATTCTTTTTTTTTTTTTTGTTAACTAATCTTCTTTCTGATGCACCATTTTCTACTGCTTTTTTCTTAGCTACTTCATTGGTCTTTTAGCTTCTTACTTTGTGTCCCTTTCTTTTTTGCCTATTTATTTATGTGCTTAGATTAGTAGTGATTTAAGCATAGTTAAATGTAACTTTTTTTTTACAGATACCAACATATTTGGATTTTGGGGTGCTGAAGTCTCAGTGAAGAACCAGATTACCTTCTTCAGGTACCTTTTTCCCCTCTTTTGGTTACAAAAGGATTCAATTTCCCCCGTAAAAATAAAAGAAACAAAACAGCTTGCTGCTGCTGTCATGCTTAAATAGTCCAAAGTTGTGAAAAATGAAAGAGATAACCGCAGATTCATGGTTCTACTATGTTCTCTTTCTTCCAAGAGTTTGCTAGTTTCTAAAAGGACTCCTCTACATGAGCTTTTTCCCTTGCAGTGGGTCTGATTTGGTGTTTTGTTGAAGCTATTAGGCATGTTATAATCACCATTTTCTATGTTTTCTTTCTTCCAAGAGTTTGCTAGATTCTAAAAGGACTCCTTTTCTACATGAGCTTTTTCCCTTGCAATGGGTCTGATGTGGTGTTTTGTTGGGGCTATTAGGCATGTTATATTCACCATTTTCTAGGGCTTTGAAATGCTTGCTTCCTAGTTCCTACTATCTTTTCCGAGTTCCAGAGATTTAAATAGCGTTCAGCGTCCGCAATCGTGCCCGTTTTGTTTGCAATAGCAATAAATGCAACGCAACCTCAATTTAAATCCTTGCCGAGTTATTTTATTTTTGGTACAAATCAAAATGTCGGTGCCTGGTTTCTCTTCAGAAGCTTCAATTCTGATTCTTTCCTCTGTTTCCTGTTATAGTTTATGAATAAGTACTTTTACCTATGTAGTTTACTTATGAATGAGCCAATTGTTTCCTGATTTCTTTGTACGAAATGTGCACACCTTATGTAGTTTAGCTTGTCATTAGATAATCTATGTAGATTGTAGATTGTAGATTGTGATGGCCAAAGAGTACAGTGGTTCGCCGAGGCATCATCGGCTTGAAGCAAAGAAGAACCGCCTCACTTGGATTCTAGGCGTTAGTGTCCTCTGCACATTGTTTTATGTGTTGGGAGCTTGGCAGCGTACATATACTCCCACTACTACTCAATTTAATGCATACTCTAGAGTTGGCTGCGATAGTAATGTCACTGCATCAAACAACGGCAATGCCGCAGCTGTTCATCCAGTGTCAACCAGGTTGGACTTCGCAAGCCATCATCAAGTCGTGCTACACGGCTCCAAAGCAGTCACTCAGTTCTCACCATGTGATATGTCGTTCAGTGAGTACACCCCCTGCCAGGATAAAGCGAGGGGAAGGAAATTCGACCGTAACATGTTGAAATACAGAGAGAGACATTGTCCCACGAAGAAAGAACTTCTCTTGTGTCTTATACCTGCACCACCACAATATAAGACCCCTTTCAAGTGGCCTAAGAGTCGAGATTATGCGTGGTACAGCAATATCCCCCATAGAGAACTCAGCATTGAGAAGGCAATTCAGAATTGGATTCAAGTAGAGGGTGATCTTTTCAGATTCCCTGGGGGAGGCACCATGTTTCCTCGGGGAGCTGATGCATATATCGACGACATTAGCGAGCTCATTCCCCTTGCCGATGGAACTATCAGAACAGCAGTTGATACTGGTTGTGGGGTGAGTAATAAATATCCTCTGCAATTTACTTGCTTACATCTGTTCCAATGCTTTGTAATTTGATATCGAATTCAGGCTATAAATTTCACTCATGTGGCCATATTTACTTTCAGTCTATGTTAATAACTGGCACTCCAATTCTCAGACTAGTTTCTTCTTTACTGTGGTGTCAGGTTGCAAGTTTCGGAGCATATCTCTTTAACAGGAATATCTTGACGATGTCGTTTGCTCCAAGAGATACGCACGAAGCACAGGTCCAGTTTGCGCTGGAACGTGGAGTTCCCGCAATGATCGGAATCATGGGTTCACAGAGGCTTCCGTACCCATCAAGGGCTTTTGACTTGGCTCATTGTTCTCGCTGTTTAATCCCTTGGCAAAAGTATGGTAAGACATTTGTATATCTATGAGAAAGTGGAATGTCCCTTGTACTGCCTTGTATTATGTGACCCTCCTTATTACTACACCCTATCTCATTGCTCTATAGCTTGAAATGTTTTGTATATGCTAATGCCGTTACACTTAAACGGTACAGATGGTTTGTATCTAGCCGAATTGAACCGGATTCTAAGGCCTGGTGGTTATTGGGTTCTCTCCGGCCCCCCTATTCACTGGAAGAAGTTCTGGAGAGGCTGGGAAAGGACACAGGAGGATTTGAAACAAGAGCAAGATGCTATCGAAGATGTTGCCAAACGCCTATGCTGGAAGAAAGTGATTGAAAAGAACAATCTATTGGTTTGGCAAAAGCCCATCAACCACATTGAGTGTACCGAAAGTAAGGTCTTGAAAACACTGAACATATGCAAGTCGGATGATCCGGACACAGCTTGGTACTCCTTTTAGCATATTTCATGTTTTTTATTTCCTTCTTCGACACTCACTCGTAAAACCCTTTTTTGGTCTTATTTTCAATTTTCCATGTGTGCTTGAAAAGGTACCGGAATCTGGAAGCTTGTGTAACTCCACTTCCAGAAGTAAGCAGTTCAGATGATGTAGCTGGTGGGGCAGTAGAAAAATGGCCTGAGCGAGCATATTCTGTTCCTCCTAGAATTAGCAGTGGCTCAACACCAGGCGTCACAACTGAGAAATTTAAAGAGGACAATAAAATTTGGAAGGAAAGAGTAGCGCATTACAAGCGAATCATTAGTCCGCTGTCCACTGGACGATATCGGAATATTATGGACATGAATGCTCACCTTGGGGGATTTGCAGCAGCTATGTTGAATTATCCAGTTTGGGTCATGAATGTGGTCCCTGCAGATTCAGATCATAACACATTGGGAGTTATTTACGAGCGAGGTTTCATCGGCACTTACCAGGACTGGTGTGAGGCATTCTCAACATATCCAAGAACATATGATCTCATCCATGGTAGTGGCTTGTTTACTATATATCAGGATAGGTAAGTATTCTCAACCATGAACTTTCTTTGGTTTCATAATTCGTAATTGTGGTTGAACTTGTGTTACGTTGTTCGTTGAAGGTGCGACATCACGTACATCTTGCTGGAGATAGACCGGATTCTTAGGCCGGAAGGGACGGTTATATTTAGGGACACAGTGGAACTGCTGGTGAAGATTAAGAGTATAACAGATGGAATGAGATGGAAGAGTCAGATCATGGACCATGAAAGTGGACCCTTCAATCCAGAGAAAATTCTTGTTGCTGTCAAAACATACTGGACTGGTGAAGCAACACCAAAACAAACCTGAACTCTTCCTTTGTCCCATTTTTTCATCTTGGGAAACATCTTTTCCCTTTCAAAAACTAAAAGGGCATGTTTTTATTGGACTGTAAAACCAAGCATTCTATTTGTACTACAACTATTGATGATAGTTTGATTAGCAAAACAGATAATGTCCACTCTGCATTAATTGAAAAGTAAGCTCTATCCAGTTGCCTCTACAGTTTAATTAAATGACCCGTTATTAAGTATACAAATGGTATTTACTATGTTGAATCTTCTAGCAACTAAAAGTTATAAAATAGTTTTTTAAATTCATCTTTTTCTATTAAAAAATTAACGGTAATCTGAGATGGATATTAACATAATGTCTAAGATATGATAGTTGAAAAAGATAAATTTAGAATATATGAACAATTATATGAATATTTTATAATTTTTAATAATCAATGACTTAACAAAATATTATTTTATAATTATGGATTATTTTACCACTTTTAATAATCGGGACTCAATCATGTGTACTTTACCAGTCTATGTACTTTACCAGTCTATCTTCTTCAAAAACAGCAGCCAATACATGCCGAGTCTGCAATGAAAATGCCGTGAAATATGATCTTAGAAAATAAAATCTCATTTCGGAAAAAGAAAAGATTGATATTGCAGTCGAATCGAGAAGAAAATATGAAAAATAGTGATTCATGTGAAGCGGGGAGTTTGTGTTGTTTTTGGCATAACCATAGGCCATAGCTCATCAACAAGTAGAGCAAAAGCTGGATTAGTTGGGATGTGCATGAACATGATTCAAACAGGTTGAAATATTAATTTCTTGTTTAAGCTTTCAATATATACACATGAGAAGAAATCTTTCATTTAACATCAATATTAATAATCATTGTAAAATGTTTCTATCAAAATTAAGAAAGAAAAAAGATTGATTTTTCTCTCTCTCATCTTCTTCTATATCTTTATAGAGATAATAAATTTGGTTAGGGGTTAATTCATTCTTTTATGTTAAGGGTAAACTTCAAAAAAATTTTAAAAAAGTGAATTTATAAAATTATAGGGAATTAAAAGAGATATCAATTGATGATAAAAAAATATCTAAAATATATATTGGTTTAAAATTTTGAAGGAGTGACTATCCCTACACGTAGGAGTGTTCAAGCAGTTAATTTAACCACCGATCGAACAGAATTACCACTAACTGGATTAACAGAACCCTTTTTTTAACTATTAACTGAACCAAACTTTTTTTGAAAATATATATTGGTTTAAAATTTTGAAGGAGCGACTATCCCTACATGGTGACTACTCTTACATATGGGAAATAGACTATCAAAGTTGAGGAGATTACTGTAGCCTTGTTGGCTCACAACCAGCGGAAGCAGAATGCAGGGGAAAGCTCTCAAGCTGATAGCTTATATGTCAAGGGTAATCGAGACTGTGGACGGAAGCCAGAGAAGGCAGGGTCTGGGAAGCGGAATATCATATCCAAATCTAGGGATAAGAAGATAATTCACTGTTACAAGTAAAAGGAGGCGGGACATATGAAGTGAGACTGTCCGAAGTTGAAAAAGTAGACTGATGAGAAGCGTGATGACTCATACAAGTTTGTGAATGTGGTCGAGGATGACAATTCTGATTACAGTGAGGGTGATATGCTCTCTATTTCAACGACTCAATTGACGGATGCTTGGATTCTTGATTCTAGATGTTCTTATCACATCATGCCAAATAGGGAATGGTTTTCGATATACAGGTCGGTTAATTCTGGTTCTGTTTATTTTGGTGATGATCGATGTTGCAATATTGTTGGTATTGGTGATGTCAGAATTCAAATGTATGATAGTTCTGTTCAGACGTTGTGTGGTGTTCAACATATCCCATATTTGAAGAAGAATTTGATTTATTTAGGCACTTTGCACAAGAATGGTTTTATCCCTACGACTGATGAGGATAGGGAAACCATCCAGATTGTTAAAGGAGCATTGACTGTGATGAAAGGAAAGATGACTGCAGGGAATATTTACAGATTGTTAGGGAGTAACGTTGTAGGTGGAGTTCATTCTGTTGAGTCCTGTGATGATACTACCAAACTGTGGCATATGTGTCTTGCTCATCTTAATGAACGTGGTATGGCTAAGTTACATAAAAGAAATTTGTTGTATGGTGTTGAAATTTTTGCAAGTATTATGTTCTTGGTAAACAGACTAAAGTTCGTTTCAAGACTGGGAAACACACAACTGAAGGTATTCTTGATTATGTGTATTCTGATGTATGAGGGCTTTCCACGACATCATCTTTGGGTGGATCTAGGTATTATGTTACTTTTATTGACGATTTTTCACAGAAAGTTTGGGTGTATTTTTTGAAACAGAAGTCTGACGTTTTTGAGAAGTTCAAGTTGTGGAAAGCTGAGGTAGAAAACAAACATGATGAAAAATCAAGTGTTTGCGGTCTGACAATGTTACGGAGTACACAGATTCACAGTTTCTAAACTTCTGTAAGGAGCATGGGATTAAGAGACATTTTACAGTGCACAAGACACCACAACATAATGGTGTCATGGAACGGATGTACAGGTCATTGAATGAAAGAGCCAGATGTTTGCGGTTGAATGTGGGGTTTTCCAAAAACTTATGGGCTAAGGTAGTTAACATGGTGTGTTATCTAATCAATAGATCGCCAATGGCATCATTGGCTGGGAAAGTTGCATAAGAGGTATGGACTGGTCATGATGTTACTCTTGATCACTTACGGATTTTTGTTGTCTTGCTTATGTGCATGTACCTACTGATGAGAGATCTAAACTTGATGTAAAATTGAAAGAGTGCATTTTTGGGGGTTACAAGACAGGTGTCAAAGGATTCAAGTTTTGGGATCCAGTTGTGAAGAAAATTGTGATTAATAGAGATGTTGTTTTTGATAAAAAAAACCCATGTTGTAGTAGAAGAAAGACACGACAGTGGTGGATTTCGAGCAGTTTCCAGTTGAGAAAACAGAAACTTCTCAATCAACTTTTGGTGGTTCAACTATGGTTGATTTGTAGGATTATAGTCTCGCCAGAGACAGGGTGAGACGGACAAATATAAAGCCTCCGAACAGATTGGGTTTTGAGGACTTTGTCTCTTTTGCACTTACTGTTAGCAGTGATGATCCGATTACTTTTCATGATGTGTTACTAGTCAGGAAAATGACAAGTGGATGGCTGCCATGTTTGAGGAGATGGAGTCTTTGAATCACAATCGTACATGGAGTTAGTTCACCTTCTTGAGGGTAAGAAGCCTATTGGTTGCAAATGGGTGTATAAGAAGAAACCAACAGTAATAGAAAAAGAGGGGGAGAAGTTCAAGGCTAATTTGGTAGCAAAGGGTTTTTTCACAGCAGAAAGGAGTTAATTATGATAAAAAAAAGTCTCATGTGGTCAAGCACACTTCAATCCGAGTAGTACTTGCATTGGTGGCTAGTTGGGATTTGTATTTAGAGAAGATGGATATGAAAACTGCTTTTTTGCATGGTTATTTAGAGGATCAAATCTACATGGAGTAACCTGAAGGTTTTATTCAACCTGGAAACGAGCATTTAGTTTGCAGATTGAAGAAATCTTTGTACAGGTTGAAACAGTCTCCGAGACAATGGTATAAATGGTTTGACTCCTATATGATCAAGATTGGCTACAAGCGATGTGAGTATGATTGTTGTGTCTATGTTAAGAGTCTTGATGATGGTTCTTTTATTTTTCTGTTACTGTATATTGATGATATGTTAATTGTTGCGAAGAACATGGATGATGTTATCGGTTTGAAAACTTTTTTGAGTCATAATTTGATATGAAAGATTTAGGTGTTGCAAAGAAAATTCTTAGAATGGAAATTTACAGGGATAGAGACTCAAGGAAACTGTGGCTATCTCAATGGGGTTATGTTGAGAAAATGCTAGAAAGGTTTGCGACGAGCAGCGCAAAACCAGTGAGCACTCCATTGGTAAATCACTTTAAGCTCTCATCAGAACAGTGCCATAAGACAGATAAGGAAGCTGAAGATATAGCAAAGGTTCCATATTCTAATGTTGTTGGCTTATTGATGTGTGCACTGGTATGTACTTGTCCTGATTTAGCTCATGCTGTTAGTCAAGTTTGTAAGTACATGTCTAAACCTTGTAAGCAACATTGGGAAGCAATCAAGTGGATCTTTAGGTACTTAAAGGGTACTGTGGGACATGGAATTGTTTTTGGTAGTCAGCGGGATAATCCTTTGGTTGTAGGATATGTGGATTCATACTATGTAGGTGATTTGGATAATAGAAGATCTACGACAGGGTATGTCTTTACTCTTGGTGGAGGGCCTATTTTTTGGAAGTCTATTGTTCAATCTGTTGTGGCATTATCGACTGCCAAATCTGACATATCGCTGGTAAGATGCAGATCAGGTAAGAAACTACGGTATATGATCAACCCATTTATTCTAAAAATAAATGATTGGTGGCGACTCTAACCATTTCATTCAAGTCGAAGTCCAATTTTGGGCCCACCTGAAAGACGGTCGTGACAGCTTGACGACTCTGTTGGGGACTAAAGTAAGTGAGCCAGGTTAAGTTTAATTTGTAGTTGTCTTTTTAATGAAAAGGGTAAGTTTAAATTTTAAGGTAACTTTTTCAATTCTTATTACTTATGATTATTTTTTCAAATAAATAGTTGTACTGACGATTTCTTTCAATGGTTTCAGCTTATCAAACTTTTTTCATCTAAGGCTCTATACACGAGCTTCGAACCCTTTTAAGTGGGGGTGAAAGCGAAGCCTTCGTGAGAATTTATTCCCCGCACAGGCCTAGCAAGTAGCCTTCGAGATTCATATACCTTATGTCTTCGTGTGAATTTATTTACCATACAGACATAAGGGAATGTATCCTCTCGAGTTTAACTTAGTCCACACAAGCTTGTAATGGGCTTAGGATAAAGGGTATGGCAAGCCCAATGGGGCACTTGAAAGGAGAACTCGGGTACCTTTTTTAGAACCAAAATTGGGAGAGTACAGGGAATTAGAGCCTACCCCAAAACCCCAATTCAAAACCTAAGATGTTTTTACTCATGCAGTTTTGTCACTTTTATTTTTACTTCCAACTTTTATATTTTTATCTTACAACTTTGTGCTTTCATGTTTGTCTTTTTAGCATTTTCATCATAAAAAGAGGCTATTAATCCATAAAAAGGTGTTAGTTACACAAATA